TCCGTCTGGGAGTGAAGGACCTCCCGCCGAATTGCCGCCGCAGATCGCGATCGCGGCTTTTTTTTTTTTTTTTGTTTTTGGCTGCTTGGGGCGGCCAAAATCCTGGAGCCGGCCCTGCCCTCAACAACTGTGAGTGAAATTAACAAGGATGCCAGAAACGGCTCCTAACCCCAGGGGCTGAACTGCGCAGGGAACAGCTGAGTTTAAACTGTTCTTATGCAGGCAGCAGCAGCAGCAGGCATCCTAGGCAGGCTTCTCGGACTCCCTCAGCCAGTCTCCCTGCTGCAAGCTAGAGAGGAGAGCCCCTGCTGAGTGGGGGGTGGGGAGGAATGCAGAGCCTAACTCTCTGCAGCCTGGCTGGAGGAGGGAGGAGACGAGAAACCAAGGTGACAGTGAGTTTTCCCCTTCCACCTGCTTTTATTAGCTCTGGATTTAAGCTGTGCAGCCAAATGCTTATATTTGTTGTGTATATCAGTATTGGAGAGATCCCCTCATCCCGGGGGCAGAAAAGACTGCCCCTGCCATGGTCAAACACACCCTCCCCCCCGGCCCCCTCCTCCACCCAGCAACTGTGAGTGAAATTAACAAGGATGCCAGAAACGGCTCCTAACCCCGGGGGCTGAACCACACAGGGAACAGCTGAGTTTAAACTGTTCTTATGCAGGGGGTAGGCTTGCTTCTCCCTCTCAGCCAGTCTCCCTGCTCCCTGCTGCAAGCTAGAGGGGAGCCCCTGCAGCCGCTGCTGAGAGCCAGGCAGGGGGAAAGCACGGCCTAGCATTGGCAACCTGGCAGGAGGAGGAGGGAAGTCATGGAGAAAAATGTGACAGTGAGTTTTCACTTTTTCAGGCTTATTCCAATATTAAAGTTTTATTACCGACAGTATTTTTAGTAGTAGTAGCAGCTTTATTTTCTATATCTATGTCATGCAATGGGAGGGATCCTTGAAGTAGGTAGGAGAGGTGGGTTGCTTGCGATTGGACCATATGGGTAAGAAATGTAAATTACTTTCACCCTTGCCCAAACCCCAGGGCTCCCAGCCACCTCTGCAGCTGGTAGCTCCGGGGGTGATTTAAAGGGCCCGGGACTCCTAGCTTCAGCCGGATCCCCGAGCCCTTTAAATCCTGATTTAAAAGCCCTGGGATTTAAAGGCCCCACCTCTTCCAGTAGAGGCCACGCCTCTTCCGGTTGAGGCCCCTCCCCCTCCGCAGGACTCTGGAGTACCGGTAAGTCCTTTAAGTTACTTTCACCCCTGAATGAATATATGTGTCAAAAGTGGTACTTCCGATGTATTTGCCCCTTGGGAGAACATTCATAAAATAAAAGTGGAAGCTATGCATCAGATTCTGTCCTCACGTAAACACATGCAACCCCATTAGTTTCATTGAGGTTTCATGGGTGTAACTTGGGGCAGAATTTTTCCCTGTGCCTTTCACTTACACAAACTTCAGACGACCCCAAAGCCAGCACAATTATGACAAAAGGAATAAAATGCCATCAATTTCTGATAGCTGCTAATGGTCTAGTCCTTCACATTCTCATCCTGGTCATCTTGTTTTTATTGCATCCTACGATTTTCCATGCCATGAATCTGCTAGCTGCTTTTATTAATCTACAATACTTTTATCTAAAGCAAAGGCTTTGGTAAACCTGTCTGAATTTATCATTATGCTCTTCTGCTCTCTTGCATAGACTTTCTGCAACATAGTTATATAGAATGATCCTCAACCAGCAATGATTGATGTAAAACATGGGTCGATAATGTGATACCTTTATGTAGTCATGATTCTAATTGTACTCACTCTACTTAATTTTGCACATTTCTTTCTTCATTAAGTATTCCTACTGCAAAATCCCTGTGGTTTATCATAATTTAACTAACCTAGACTAGAAACTAATTATGATGGGGTAGTTAATATTCAAACTGGGAGCAATTTACATGGAAAGATAACCCGCAAATAAATATTTCCTGAAGTGCTTTAGTGGACAAATATAAATCCACAAAATGGACTAGCCTACGGGTTAGTATTCACCAATTACTGAGATTTTTTCAGCTATAAATGCACTTCTTTAATATTTCATCCTGACTGTGGGCCAGATCTGGAGAACCTTATTCAGAGCCCAATTCTTCCACCTTTCCATGAGGCTATTTGCTACTAACTGCTACTGCACATGAGTAAGGGCTGCAGAATCAGGACCTTGGATTTTGCTCAGTGAAGCTGCCATTGACTTCATCTGGAGACCCACCTGAGTGAAAAGGCTAGGTCATGCCTTTTGAATCCATGTGAGGAGGGTTCCCTACATATGTGGATCTCCCCTGGTCTCTGCAAAGGGCACTCCATAGGTCTGAACATGGGAGGGAGAGAGCAGGCAATGGGTGGGCCAAGGGAATACACATTGTCCTCTCTTGCGGCCTGGAGAGGTTTCTCCCAGACTTTTGATAAAGCCAGAAGTTATGTTACAGTTGGCAACTCCTCCTCACCAGATCTAGGGGAGTCCCTTACAGTGCAATTCAGCTCCTCCAGGGGTCAGAGCCAGAACCACGTGGGGCCAGAGCTACTGCAGACACAGGGCCTCGATGCTGAGGAACTTGCACCCGACCATGGATCCTTGAGATCTTGAGATCCCTACAGATCTCCAGGTAGTTGTATGGTCTATGGGCCATGCCATCTCTTTCTTCTGGAACAAAGCCTGTCCCCTGATACAAGAATGTGGGGGAAAATCCTCCAGAAGGAATCCAACATATTTCCTTTCCCCTGCATGGGTATTAACCCTATAGAGGACAAGCTGCATCTCCATAAGGCCCTAAGGATTTGACAAGTAACAGGAAAAACCATCAGAGAAAAAGAGCATCCACCACTGAGTAACCAGTCTGCTAATGACACATGCCAGCAGACTCTTGGGTACACTGGCTGTGTCTGACTCATACCAGCAATGCTAATTACTGTCTTTTGTTTTATCGAGATGAAGCTGGTGGCTTTTATGCCTGAAAGAGGAAGACTTATAGTATTGGCTGAAGCCTGGTTTAGTTCTAAACTTCCCCAAGCAGCTGTGATACTATAACTGAGTAATGACTAGCTGGGCTGCATTGCTGGTGGATTTCCACCTATCATATGAAGCAGTTCAGAAAAAAATTAAAATTCTTGTTAGTGTGTTAAACGTATTTTGTAAATAATCTGAATAGAGGGGCCAGAACCAAGACTCTAAGCCCCTCCTGGCCTGAATTTTGTTATGGGGTTGTCAGAGGATCTGAATTGTGCTGTTGGCTGTTGGGGAAACTCTTTATTAGACCTGGTCCTAACAGATAAAAAGGAACTGCTCACCAAACTATAAAATTAATGGTAGCTTAGTTACAAGTGATCATGATTAACCCTAACCCGGGAATGGCGAACCGTGGCCACTGGGAGCTGCGGGCGGTCATGCCTGCGGATGGTCAATGTAAACAAACTGTCTTGCGGCCCGCCAGCAAATTACCCTGATGGGCCGCGTGTGGCCCGCAGGCCACAGGTTGTCCGCCACTGGTTTATACATATCTACATGGGGAACAAATATTTATTAATGGGCTCTTCAATCTAGTAGTGAAAGGTGTAACACAATCCAATGGCTGGAAGTTGCAGCTAGATAAATAAGGTGTAAATTTTTGACAGTGAGGATAATTAACCACTGGAACAATTTACCAAGGGTTGTGGTGGACTCTCCATCACTGATGCTTTTTAAATCAAGAGTGGATACTTTTCTAAAAGATCTGCTCTAGGAATTATTTTGGGGAAGTTCTATGACCTGTGTTATTCAGGTAGGTTAGATTACTAGATGATCACATTGGTCCCTTCTGGCATTGCAATCTATGAATTTCTAAAATGAGCTGACTACCCCCATCCCCCCATGTCTTTCCCACAAACCCCTCAAAAAAAAAAAAGCTGAGATGAACAACTCAGGCCCATCTCTAATTCAGAATTGCTACATGACACTAAGTTTGTTATCAAACTGCCCCAATTCCATCTGAAGATCAAAGCAAAGGCTTGTGAGTTATGGATCAGAGTTCCATGTGGATGAGCATTCCAACATGTAGAAGTTTATCTGAACTTCTAAATTTAACAAGAAGTCTCATGGAGAATGGACTTCCTCATGAGATATCTAGCACTTACTGTTGCTGGTCACATTAGAATTAACTAGTTTGGCGGGAGGGATAGCTCAGTGGTTTGAGCATTAGTCTGCTAAACCCAGGGTTATGACTTCAATCCCTGAGGGGGCCATTTAGGGATCTGGGGCAAAAAAAAATAGCTGGGGATTGGTCTTGCTTTGAGCAGGGGGTTGGACTAGATGATATTCTGAGGTCCCTTCCAACCCTGATATTCTATTATTCTAACTTTCTCACATTATGATGACTGGTTCTGCTTCCCTTCCCAACCAGGAACCTGCAGAAAGCTACAACAATGTGTCCCCCCCTTTTTTTGTGTGAGCATGGGGGGCAGGAAGGAAATTCAAAGGAAAGTTCCAGAAGGTTGGGTTTGTGTTCATTTTAGGAATGGGGACAGGTCTGGGAATTCATAACTTTTCCCAAACAGTTGGATGAGACTCAATTCCATTAGAATACAGTGAGAGGATTTTCTAAAGTTCTCAGTGCTCTCCTGACTCGGCTCCCACTGAAGTCAGTGGGTGTTTTATCATTGCCTTCAACAGGAGCCAAGTTGGGTCAGTACTGAGAACTTTGGACAATTCAACCCTATATAGACATGGAAGCCTTTTAAGTACCAGACTGTATCTTCTTCAGAGTTGGCATTTTTTAAAGAACAATCTTAAGAAAACATGCTCTAAACCAGTTACTCTGAGAAAATTCATTCCATTTGGGAGTTGGGGAATTATTTGTTTTAATCCTGGAAATCCTCATTAGCCCAAGATCTCATTCCATTTCCAACTGCACCTGTTCGAAAGCCAATAGAATAAAGAATGCACCTTCTGGATTTGATGTCTAAATATCCTATGTAAATATGTCTTTCCCTCAGGTATGATATGGTCAGAATGCAAAGAAATCTGGGAAGAGGGTCCACGCGAATATGTCATGCATCTTTGGAACCTGCTGGATTTTGGGATGCTATCTATCTTTGTGGCATCGTTCACTGCAAGGTTCATGGCTTTTCTCAAAGCAACTGAAGCACAACAGTATGTAGACCAGTACGTTCAGGATGATGACCTCAATAATGTCACCCTTCCCCCTGAAATTGCTTACTTTACTTATGGTAAGATGATTTTGAGGATTTAATGCTTCCCGTTCTTTCAGGCTAGTGTGTGTGGCAGTGCAGAATTAGCAACTTGCTTCTTTTTTTACATTCATGAAGTTTTTCCAAATTAAAGCTGATTATTCTTCTCAGATCTATCAATTCCAGCCATATCGGTAAACAGCTAACATAAGCTAAAGAGGAACAGAGACTTAAGCTTCTCTCAGTCTCTGAACGTGTACTGAGACCAGACTCAATCGTATCATATGTTGACAAAATAACCCCGAGCAACTAATAATCATGAAACCAGAAGGGAATAGAATCTAATTTAAATTACGTATAAGGGAATCGGCTCTATTTTTCAAATATAGGCAGCACGCTTTGCTAACAAATGAGTGAGCTGGCAGCTTTATGGTCTTATCATTTGGCAGGTGGAACTCCAATTGAAGTCATGGAAATTCTACATCTAAAACGATGCAAGGACTGGGCTTGTAGCCTAAAAAAATGAACCACCTATTTGTAACAGTTTATATGAAAAAAAGCTTCCTGTTTACTTTGAGTTGTTGCCATGCCTGCATATGTCTTTGATCTTGTTCTGATAAGCTAATAGATTTTATGTCACTCCCATCAGTGGGTGACTAGACATGGAACATCAGACTAGTAATATTGCATGCCTCCATTTAACGACTTTAGGTTACATATTCCCCACCTAAGAAAAAATAGCAGAGGAGAAACCAAGAAAGTGCATTCAGAAGAGGATAAAATTAACAAAATACTGTGCAAGAGTTTCCTTGGCTTTCATTCCTCAGTGACAATTTATGAGAACAGGCCAATATTTCCACATCTGAGAAGCCATCTCTTGTCATATCACGTATGGAGGGTCACCTATGATCCCCTCAGTTGTCCCTTGCATTTCTGCACATATGAAAAGCAAAAACAAGTATGGGAGCAAATTTTGCTCAGACTCGTATCCAGTAAAACCTTATGAATGATTTGCTGCCCAGAAAAGGAGCTAAATCCTTAACAAATATGATCTATAACAATGTTTGACCATCTGTAATAGAAAATATGCATGCAATAATAAAATTATTCTTTAACTTCTCATACGTAGGTTTTAAATATTTGAGGGGCGATCATCAAAGGCATAAAGGAGAGTTAGTAGCCCAACTCTTATTGACTTTCAATAGGAGTTGACCACCTAAATTGTGCTTTGGCTGACATCCTAGCCCCACTGAAGTCAGTGCACATTTTACCATTGATTTCATGGAGTCAGGATTCCACCTTTAGTGCTTTGGAAAATCTTCACCTTGGAGTCTTCTTTTTTCTAAATAATAATGAGAATGGGAACCGCTGTAATATGCAGTTGACAAAATATTTCCTAGGATTCAAATGGTCCTTCCTTAGGTTTGAAACATGAATGAAAGCTTTGCACTTAGGTTAGGGGTTGGATACACAGCATGGGGACCAGCCCCCACATTCCTACCAAATTTAGAATTACCTGCCTAAAAATAACCCAAATCACTAATGGAAAAATGGATCAGATCCTCAGCTGGTGTAAATCAGGATAGCTTGCTCCATTGAAGTCAGTGGAGCAATGCTAATTTACAACGGCATAAAGTTCTAGCCCTGTGTGCACAGTCATAATATTTACAAATAATTACATTTTCAAACACAATATTTGGAGATAAGCTTCTCTCTCAATCACCGGACAAAATTTGATGACGCCTGAAATTGTTACATTCTGTTTTTCTTCTTTCTGCTTTGCTGCTGGAATATTGTAAAAAAGTCTTTTGTTATATGGTGAGGAGCTCCATCTTGTGGAAACATTTTATTATTTATAAACCTTTTGTCATTTTTACCCTTGGGAAGAACCTGTAGAAAAAAAGTCAGGGCTGGGGGAAGGGGAGGAATTTTCCAGTTAATAACCTTTGGCTGATATTTAATCCAAATATATTTTCTCACTGTGCTTGAAGAAGGATCTTTTATATTTTATATATACACACATACATACCAGGGAGATTTCTATATCGTTTATCCATCCACAGATTATTATTTACCCATCGCTTTTAGGAAGAGCTTTACAGAAAATTGTGATTTTCCCGGGCTACGTATTTTCAATTTTCACCACGTAATAGGAGCATAAATTTAACAAAAACTATAAACAACAACATTTTAAATAACGTGTGATGATCAAAAGCTTTTTAATACCTGAAGTTATATTTTAATTTGTTTGTTATGACAAAAACTTTCGTGGCTTATATTTTTATAATACACATCCAACTATTGTACGTTTTTTAAAGTAATTATAAGAATCAAGTGATTAGTCATAACGTATCGAGCTGTAGTGTTTGATGATAGAGGTTGCATGGAAAATGGGTGTTAGTTGCCTCGTGGTAAATTGCAGTGTGACATCTATATGTTGTTTTTCTTACAATTTTGTATTAGGCAGTCTTGTAAAATGAAGTGAAATAGCCTGTGCATAAACAATTCAATTATTATATATGTATAATTAAATTTAAGTGCATCTTTTTATGTTCAGTTACTGTTTTGATCCTCAGGAGTTCATGCCATATGCCTTACTTAAGGAGTTTGATACGGAACTATCTATTATGACCTGGAAATTTTGAAAAAAAAATCTAACTTGTACATTTATTTATTTTGCCTGGGGAGATGAACAAACTTGGATGATTTTCTTCTTACTTGGTGGTTGTTGTTAATTATATGACTATCCAACTTTGAAAAAGAGCAAAACCTCAGAAAACCACTTGCTTCTGCTTTTCAATGGAAACTAACAGTGTTAAATTATTTTCTAAATCTATTATCTCAAGTAAATACTAGAGAAATAAAGCTCTTTTTTCCCCTCCAACATTAGAACTGTTTGCTGCAGTGTGATTAGATAATATATATTTTCCTTTCAATTTCTTTTAAAAAAACTACAGGTAAAATCTTGGCCCCATTGAAATCAATGACAACAAATCCCATTGACTTTAATGGAGCCAGTATTTTGCCCTACTAATTCTTGGTTCCAGAGTAATATATTTGTATTAAAAGTTAGTTATTTTTATTCATGAACTTTGGTTAGTAAGGTAACAATTGGTTGTAAACTGATATAGAACAAACTATAAACTAATATGAAAACATTCCCCCCCCCCCAATATTGACTAAGCATAAACAGGCAGTTAAAAATGTAGCCAGCCTTCTGCTTTAAGTTCAGAACTGAACTTTACAGATATGCTGCAGGGAATTCTCTGCTTCTTTTCATTTCATCTGGGTTCATACAAATAATACTCAACTTTATTCCTGTGTATTTAAATATGGTACATGTTTTCGTTTTGGGTCAAACGCCTTGTATTAAATGCTGAGTCTCAGTTCATGCAAAAGAACCCCTTGATACTCATATTCAAAGCATATTCAAAAACAGGTAGATTAGACAACTGATTTGTATGCATATAGTATCAGCAAGGAACTTGTTAAAATAAATGGCTAAATTGTCAGGGTTTTTTTATTAAAAAAGTTAACACAATATAGATCTATTACAAGGTTTGGCGGTTCGATTGGCTTTATCTGAACAAATCCAAACCTCTTCGATCTAATCTCATGAGGACAGGTTTTGCCATGAGCTGGTTAGTCCTTGAAGGTTACGTTACATTTTGTGTATTTATATGGTGCTGTGAATTCAATAATTAAAAGCTGGAAATTTTCTCGTCAGTGTGATTCTGATCCACAATGACAAAACTCCCATTGCCATCAGTTGGAGCAGGAGATGATGATACATTGGACTGGGAGTCAGGGAATCTGGGTGCTGATTCCCAGTTCTGCCCCTGACTGCCTGTGTGCCTGGGGTAAATCACAGCAAACTTCCTGTGCCTCGGTTTCTCTAGCTGAAAAATGTGGCTAATCATTTCTATCCATCTTTGTAAAGCACTGTGAGACTTGCAGATTCCTGGTAGATTCCTACACTTTTCCTTCCAATCCTGGCCAGAACCGAGACCTAGGACCTATTTTATGGGTCATTTATATTTATATTTCTAACATTTTCTGTTACTAATACCTTATATATGTGTATTGTTCCAGCCAGGAACAAGTGGCTTCCCTCGGACCCTCAGATCATATCAGAAGGACTATATGCAATAGCTGTGGTACTCAGCTTCTCCCGCATTGCTTACATTCTTCCAGCCAATGAAAGCTTTGGCCCTCTTCAGATCTCTTTGGGAAGGACTGTGAAGGATATCTTCAAATTCATGGTCATCTTCATCATGGTGTTTGTTGCCTTCATGATTGGAATGTTCAACCTTTACTCTTACTACCTTGGTGCAAAATATAACCCAGCATTTACAACGTGAGTACCTAGGAAAAGGAGGCTATATAGATTATAGCTCTAGACCTAGTAGTATCCCTTTCTGGGGTGCCTCATATGTAACCTGCATGCCTTCTGCGACTCATGTCGTTTGCACTATATTGCTGCATTGTTTAATTATTCCAAGTGGTGAAGAGGGCTCTAACTGCATGAATCCATTAGAGCCAATGAAAGGTGCATGGCTAAAACCTGGTGCAATGTTTAATAAGCAGAAAGGACCCTCCATCCAAGCCCTCTTTTTTTTCTTTCCCCCTAAATCCAATCCTCTCTGACCCACCCAATCACTCAGTTCCTCCCCTCTTCCTTTACATTTTATCTCCCTCAATGCACTACAAGGCCTGTTTTGGCTTCCAAAGTCCCCTTAACTTCACCATATATTTATGGTAGGGTCCCACTGAGTCTAACAGTCTCTGCTAAGCCAGTTACTGCTGAGCTTGCAGGCTTTAAAATTTCCCTGGGTCAGAGGTGCCCCAGAATATATTGCAGACTTCTGACATTCTTGCCTCGGTTACTGTTTGCCTGGAAGTGCTGCACCTTAAGCTACTGTTTCAATTGAATGGGGAGGTTCAGACTTTGGCTGGGAGACCAGTAGTACAGCCTCCAGTTTTGATGTCCTGTCCCAGGTCTCTTTCAAAGAGTGTGCAGTCTGCAAAAAAGGAAACCCAGTAACTCAGAATCTGTTATTTCTAGGGTAAAACACAAGCAGGAAAATGGTTCTTTGAGGTGAGTGGAAAGAGCAGAGGAAATTTTCATAAAATTATCTTGACAGCAGTGAAAAAGAAATCCTTTTGTATTTTTACCTTTAAGAAGAGCAGTCAATACAGCAGGCCATGTTGCGTTTGTGATCAGCACAGAAAGGATTAAACACCTAATTATCCTCCAAAAGCTACTTCTACCAAAGTGTATGTAAAATGATGAAGCAGTAAAATTGCACACGTTTTGCATCTGTAATTTCACACCTGCATGTGGCTGCTATGCAAGGCAACATGTACACCTCTACCCCGATATAACGCGAATTCGGATATAACGCAGTAAAGCAGTGCCCCGGGGGGGGGAGGGGGGCAGGGCTGCGCACTCCGGTGGATCAAAGCAAGTTCGATATAACGCGGTTTCACCTATAATGCAGTAAGATTTTTTGGCTCCCGAGGACAGCGTTATATCGGGGTAGAGGTGTATCTAAAGAACCAAGTGTCTAAAAAGTGCTATTGATGCATTTAAAAAAAAACAATAAATAAATAACAGTGGGGAATATAAGGCCTGGTCTACACTACGACTTTAATTCGGATTTAGCAGCGTTAATCCGAATTAACCCTTCACCCGTCCACACTACAGAGCCAGTTAATTCGAATTAAAGGGCACTTAAAATCGATTTCTGTACTCCACCTCGACGAGCGGAGTAGCGCCAAAATCGATTTTGTTAATTTGAATTAGGGTTAGTGTGGCCGCACACCACCGAATTAATGTGGTTAAATTAATGGGGTAGTGTGGACGCACACCACCGAATTAATGTGGTTAAAAACCGAATTAATGTGCTTAGTGTGGCCGCGCACAATCGAATTTATACAACCTGTTTCCCAAATTCGAATTATCTAAATTCGGATTAATCCCGTAGTGTAGACATACCCTAAGACAGGGAGTTCCACATTCCCTAAATCAAGTGCATTTCTCAATAGAGAACACCGTGAAGAGATGCATAATATCCTGCCAGCATATGGGCAAGATACAAGGAAAGATGCTGACTAGGTTGCTCGTGATCTCCCTCTAGTGCCCATCCAATAAATCAACAACCTTGAGAAGCTGGAGGTTGTCTGCATTTTGTAGTTGTTTGCTGTATATACTGTATTACAGCTGCTTGAATGTTGCAACAAATCATTCCTCAAATAGTGTACTTCAGTGGCTCTACAGTATATGCAATGGCTGAATAATAGGACTGTAAGTGAGAAGTGGTTCCTCAAAATATGTCTGACTTTATTCAGGCTAAGCTATGATGTTTGATATCACACCTGTCATTTGGAGACTAGATATGTGGTAACCAATTAGTACTCCTATATGCCAGAATCTAATAACTGTGGGCTATATATTCCCATCATCATCAAAAATAGCAGGAAGGGAAACAGTGTTTGGAAAACACCATAGGAGTGAACTCATTAAGTTTCTAATTAATGCCCCTGTGAAAGGGTTTGGAGCCTCTTGGAGGCAGTAGGAAGTGCAAACTAGAAACCTTATGGATCCACACAGAAGTCCATGCCCAACCCCATACATACTGGGGTGCAAGGAGAGGCCTCTCCACACCTCTCTCCGGGCACATACATCATCAGCATGGATCCCTCAGGAGTTGTGCTGCTATTAGCTTCCCTAGCCATATACCCTCGAGGCAGAAAGCACAGAGTGGGAGTTCGTTTCAACTAGGGTTAATTCCCAGGTGCGCTTCCACTCAGAGGTGGCCATGTTATTCCCCAGGTCTGCCCTGACAGGCCCCCAAAGCCATGCGATGAAATGTTGACATCAGCAGGTGTTTTGCCATTGACTTCAGTGGGGACAGGATTTCATCTATAAGAACATACATAAGAATGGCCATATGGGGTCAGACCAAAGGTCCCTCTAGCCCAGTATCCTGTCTTCTGACAGTGGCCAATGCCAGGTGCCCCAGAGGGAATGAACAGAACGGGTAATCATCAAGTAATCCATCCTCTGTCACCCATTCCCAAATTCTGGCAAACAGAGGCTAGGGACACCATCCCTGCTCATCCTGGCTAATAGCCATTGATGGACCCATCCTCCATGAATTTATCTAGTTCTTTTTTGAACCCTGTTATAGTCTTGGCCTTCACAATCCTCTGGCAAGGAGTTCCACGGGTTGACTGTGCATTGTGTGGAAAAAATACTTCTTTTTGTTTGTTTTAAACCTGCTGCCTATTAATTTCATTTGGTGGCCCCTAGTTCTTGTTATGAGAAGGAGTAAATAACACTTCCTTATTTACTTTCTCCACTCCAGTCATGGTTTTATAGACCTCTATCATATTCCCCCTTAGTCGTCTCTTTTCCAAGCTGAAAAGTCCCAGTCTTATTAACCTCTCCTCATACGGCAGCTGTTCCATACCCCATGGAGTTTGAACTATGAGCATAGGCAGAGATGGGATTAAATTGGCTCCCAAGGAGGAGAGGCAGTTTATCACAGTTGTCCCATTGCTTCCCTCAGAAAAGTCTGGGGCTATTCCACCCCTGCTTGTGCTCCCATCTGTGATGCAAGACAGAGGAGAGTTGGAGGGATGCAATATAAGGTCCCCCCTTGTAGGTCTAATCTAATGATGCCACTTTAAGACAACCCCTGCAGTGACATTTAGTTGAGTAAATGTTTAAGTAAGTTGATACTGAAGCACTAACCTAAGTCAAAGTAAACAGGATCTGGCATTTTGATGTGTTATTCATATACTATAGTACACAATGGATGGAGGGATGCTGCTGTTAGCCCCAGTGTGAGGAAATGATCTTCCCAACTTAGTTTCTGTCTCGTATGAACTACAGATTCTTTCCAACATCTAGGATCCAGCTGTATTACTCCACTGTGTAGCATAACATATGCTTTATAAAGCAGAGTTTAAACTTTGTAATCAAAGAAAATATGCCTCCTAGGGTTCTTCTGTTGCCTCAGGATACATTTTAATGGAGGGATTTCCAGGACTGGCTGCAAATACATTTCTCTGTTTCTAATAACAAGGTAAAAGAAAACTGAGTATGTAGGAGGAGACATGTTAATCATACAAATAGAAGACTATGCCCTTGAAGTACAGGAGTTAATCAGTGGCTGAGTCAATATCTCCCCGACTGCCTGGTGGAATAACAACCATCAGTTATGGTTCTCCATTGGTCCATGATTCCAAAATAGTTGGATAATGAATTTTAGGCCATCACTGATGCAATATCATTGTGTAGCGTTGGTTCTCATTATTAACCTTGCAGCATGTATTGTCACTTGAATGATGAACAAGCCTTGATTGAAATGGTGACTATTCCCTAGAGTAAAAATTACTTCCAGTAGTAAAGGTTGCAGGATCAAGTTGTAACAAGAGAGTGTGGGTGGTTGGGAGATACCTGCCCAAAGGGGAAATAAAATGGTCTTCTTCTTTAAGTCCAGATCCTCTGGAGATTCCAAATACTAGATGCTCATCTATCTGCCCCGTAACGAGTTAGTATTGTTAGTAAACACCTATCAGAAGAACCCAAATAAGCCATGTAAGAATTTGGAAGAGAAGTCAAAATTCAAATTAGGGTGTAAAAGTACCAAGTTACTACTTTAGGATAGCAGATTCTTTACCAGCAGAGTAGAGGCGTGTGCTGTCTGAACATCTGACAATGCCACCGGAAGTAGTGCGTTGGCACTTTTGGCCTGGATCCCACAACCTGATCCATTCAGAGAGAATGTCCCCATGGAATCCCCCTGGTGCTCCGCACAGGCTAAAACGTGCCCCTGAGCAGGTCAGATTGCAGGGTCAGGGATTCTGTTATCTTGCCCAGCAAATTTCAATTAGCACTGTTAGGAAAATTCACATCGGCGAACATTCCTCCAACTTTGTTCCTAATGCTGTTCAGTTAGTAAGAGTAGATTTCCGGGCTCCCGTATTGCTGTTTCAGATTATTTTAATACCCTGGAGTGTGAAATATGTGATTAGGAAGGGAGATGTGCAGTCTTTTTTAAATAATGCATATACCGTACAGCTCAGGGATTAACATTCATTTTAGACCATTCTCAGACACTTTCACAAAGCTGGAAATCTTATGGTGTTTAGTCATGAACATATGTTGTTAATTTACACATATCAAGAATACATTAGCATATGGGCAACTATGTATCAGACCTTCAATATTTTACTGAGCTGTCAGTGAGTTCTGCTGCAGAATATGGTGGGTATTCACAAAGGGCACTAACTGACTCATGAAGAGAAGGAGGAACAAATTATTGCAGCTGGGCAACTACTTTAAAC